ACCTCTGTGATCAATTAGAGAAGATTTATCACTGCTTTGCTTATTTTGTTTGATTTTATAAGTTTTATTTAGCCTGCTTTTCTGCATTGCTCTGAATGGCCTCCGGCTCTCGAGAAGGCCTGCGTTTAGCTTTCTGAGGACTTTTCTGGGGAACTGCTGCCATCTAGTGGCGGTACATTGTAAGTGTAGCTCACATCCAATTTCAAACGAGGACATCACTGTTTAGCTGAATGTAATGGATGAAGGACGCAGAAAAACAAGGTGGAATACTGTCAAAAGTCAAAAATAAATTGTTGGTATTAAACATCTGTTGTTTAATTTGGAGCAGAATGTGAAACTAAGTTCATATTTAAGTAGGCAAGGATGGTTGGTTATTTAAATAAAATATAGGCCCTATTTTTTGGAGGATTCTTGTCCAGGAGTAGAAAAAATATAATAAAAGTCTGGATACTGTGTCACTTACTAAAAATCTTACTTATTGAAAGTGGAAGTATGAAACCAAAAAATATACTTGAATGAAGGCCAAAAGTATTAACATTTAAACTCAAGCATATAAAAGTAAAATTAAAATAGTATGATGCATAAAATCAATAATCAGGGAATTAAACTAATAACTGGACATGAGCTGATCACACTCCATCCCGCCTCGAGAGTCGACCCGGTCTCAACCATGTTCTTATCTGTGTGTGGTGAATAATGGGTGGCACTGGTCCATTTATACTTCTTCAAATTAATATCAGTCTACCAGTGAAATTCTACTGGCAAGAGAAAAAAAGAGATTTGTGGTTTGTGTGAAATGCTTTGAAGGTCAAAATTAAAATTTAAGCGCAGTAACAAAAGACAATGAAGTGGTTTCCACACCCAGTCTTGGCACATTCGCTGCTGTAGGAAAGGAAATGGTGTGCATAGGCTATGCATACTACATCACTGCAATTTTAGCATGCATACTACTTTTTAAAGAATGCATACACTAGACATACTATTTTTGAACTATGTATATCATCGCAGATTTCATTTTAAAGAATGAATATAGTATACATGCTACATATTTAACGATACTTTAAGTTTACTAAGGCTATTTTTTAAGAATGAATAGAGTAAATCACGTAAAAACTTTGCATACTATTATTTAAGAATGTGTACAGTATGCACATTACTGTTAAAGTAGGCTAACTTCATTTTTAAGCACACATACGATATGCACACTTGATGCATACTGCAATTTCATGCATGCACACTATGTATATTACTTTTATACATTAAACATTGTTATTTTTAAATATGCATATTACATCTGTAAGTATGCATACATTATGCTTGGTACGTCTTAAGTATGCATACTACTTTTTAAACATGCATACACAATGTGAGCTAGTACCTTTTAATTCTTCATTAATAAGTATTCATATATGTACATTTATATAATATTCACACTATCAGGCCACGACCAAAGCAATGTCTAATGATATGAATGAAAAAAATAGTGTTCGCTCATTCATCCACTTTGATTGTTTACATTTATAATCAGTGATGCACCGATATGGGTACTGTGGATGGATACATAACTGCCAAAGCCAATACATACACATTTATCAAATGTAGAAATTTGGACTAAATCTACCTGGATTAGTGTTAGAAATAATATATATATATATATATATATATATATATATATATATATATATATATATATATATATATATATATTGCTATAGAGTTGCAAATCTAGTAAAAAGAATAAAATGCAGAGATTTTATCATAGTAGCCCAGTGTTGCCTAAATGCTTTTGCCCCTGGTTATTTTTGAAGCTGCTGGCTGTGCTATGAGGATCTCAGTAATGGAGGAGTTTTTGTATGATTATTTAATTGAAGTAATAATTAGCGTAAAACCTGCAACTGGAGCAGCAGAAACATGTTCTCTGGAGTGACGAATCATGCTTCACTGTCTGGCAGTCCGATTGATGAATCTGTGTTTGGCGGATACCAGGAGAACTCTACCTACCTTAATGCAAAGTGCCAACAGTAAAGTTTGGTAGAGGAGGGATAATGGGCTGGGGCTGTTTTTCAGGGTTTGGGCCCCTTAATTTCAGTGAAGGGTAAAATTAAAGGTGCAGTGCGTAAGATTTAGCAGCATCTAGTGGGGAGGTTGCAGATTGCAACCAACTGAATACCCCTCCCTCACCCCTCCCTTTCCAAGCATATAGTACTATGGCTTTCATGTTTTCGTTTCGTTGAAGATGAGGATTCACCCTCTCTTGCTTTTTCATGTTCTAAAATAATACATCAGATCCTCCATTTGTCAAAATTTGGATTCTCAAACTTCTCACAACACAAAATGCTTAGCCAGCACCAGCAGATTCTTCTTCTTTCTACGTCTTCCAACCGGTGCTACAGCGCCACTGAATTCAAGGAGAAAGGCGCTCTCTAGAGTCAGTGTTTGGTTCATCCATTCTGGGCTACTGCAGAAACATGGTGGCGCAACATGTTGGCCTCTGTCGGAAGACGACCTGCTTCATATGTAGATATGAAGAGCTCATTCTAAGCTAACGAAAACACTTTTCACAATACATAGTTACAGACGATAAAAACTGACTTTTTAGCCACATGATCTAAACCACTGAAAAGTTACTCAGGCAAGCTCAGTGAACATATGAACCAGACGAATTATTCAGTTTAAGATATGGATATTTATGGGTTAAGCTTTCCCTCCTAATAAAGTTCTTAACATTCTAATCTTTCATGATCTTATATGGTTGTTTGGATTTGTAGCCTGGTTGGCTAACTTTACTTTAGCTAACATTAGCTTACGAGTGCGAGTGGATCAGACACAGCAGTGCTGCTGGAATTTTTAAACACTGTGTCCACTCACTGTTCACTCTATTAGACACTCCTACCTTGTGAGTCCACCTTGTAGATGTAAAGTCAGAGACGACAGCTCATCTGCTGCTGCACAGTTTGTGCTGGACGTCCTCTAGTCCTTCATCAGTGGTCACAGGACGCTGCCCACAGGACGCTGCTGGCTGGATATTTTTGGTTGGTGGACTATTCTCAGTCCAGCAGTGACACTGAGGTGTTTAAAAACTCCAGCAGCACTGCTGTGTCTGATCCACTCAGACCAGCGCAACACACACTAACACACCACCACCACGTCAGTGTTACTGCAGTGCTGAGAATGATCCACCAGCCAAATAGTACCTCCTCTGTGAGGGTCCATGGGGATCCTGACCACTGAAGAACAGGGTAAAAGAGGGCTAACAAAGTATGCAGAGAAACAGATGGACTACAGTCTGTAATTGTAGAACTACAAAGTGCACCTATATAGTAAGTGGAGCTGATAAAATGGACAATGAGTGTAGAAACACGGAGGTGGTCGTAATATTATGCCTGATCGGTGTACCTTATTACTGTTTTACCACCCAAAGCTATTGGGTACTATGATAAACTCTTATTACACAAAAAAGTGAGGAAAATTCAGTTTTTCATGATATGGGCCCTAAATAGTCAGAATGTTTTCCCTTGTGTTTGCATATGAAATCCAAATGTAATATTTTATGGCTTTATAACATTATAACTATCATTCCTACTCAGGACCCATGAACAGTTTAAATTATCCACAGACATCAAATCCAGAATCAGAATCACTGATCTGGATTTTACGGTTTAATATAATAATATAAAGTACCAGTCAGATCAGGTTTAGCAGATGTAGCTCACTGAAAAGAATGACACACAAAAGCGCAGGATAACTGATATCTTAGTATTTATGTACTGCATAATCTGCCCCTCACATCCATATTCAAGACACTACATGAGATATATACAGCACGTTCAGATATACACATCTGGCTCCCCAGGCAGAGATGAGCACGTACGTCAGAAAGCCATCACATGGGCAATGAGAATAACAGGACGCTCATGCGTATTCACACCTTCCCACCGATCGTGCAATTTTCCAGACCTGCGGAAGATGCTAATTGGATAGCGTGGTGTCAGACGCATTTTAACAGCCGCACTTCCCTAGCCAGTCCTTAATGAGCTCAGAGGACGTTAATGACGTCTGAGAACAGCAGATCGGTTGGTAAAAAAAAGAGGAGAAAATAAATGAAAGAAAGCTAGAAAAAAACAAGGCATGTGAAAGTGACGCAACACTTCCGGTTAAGGGGTCAGTGAGTTTGGCAGAATGGCACTCTGTTTCCAGAATAACAGTCCAGACAGTAAAGACTGCGGAAACAGAAAGAGTAAATCAACACTTTTCACTTGGTCTTCATGCTCACGGTCAAAACGGTTACACTACATGTCTAGTTGTGTCTTGCTTTAACATGTTCTTTGACTGATTTTCATACAGACTCAAACAGGTTTTAGGCCATAAAGTCTGCATATATGAACCTGTGCATTTTACAGTTTTAACCCTTAGAAATTGTAGTTATTGCCAGCGTTAACATAAGCAGGTTGTAATTTTACTAAGGATGCGCCATTATGGGAACTGTGGTCCCAATATCTAATATTTTGTACTGTACAAAAGTCAGAGACCACCCTTCATTTATTACATTTCCAGTCAAAATGGCCATTAAATACAAGTTATTTAACAGGAGCCACATCAACTAAATATAATATCAATTTGCGTCTATGCTTTACCTTTATTACAGCTTCCGTTCTTTTTAGGAGACTTGCTTTCAGTTTTCAAAGAAATCTGCAGGGATATTTTTCCACACCTCCAAATATCAATCTTAGAAGTTGGTTTTGCATTTCCTGCTTCTTATAATCCAAGCAATCCTAAACACATTCAGTTGTTGTGGTGGACAGTCTAAATGTTTTTCTATCTCCTTTTCTCAGTGAGGGCCTCTTTACAGCTACACATCCTTTCAGACCCATAGCGCTGAGTTGTGTTCTCACAGTGGAAGGATGGACAGAAACACCTGTGTCTGTTTTCAGATCTGAAACAGCTTGATTTTCTCCTCTCTCTCAAAAGATGAAAGCTTTAAGTGCTGTTTATCTGATGCATCTCAGTTTTGGTGTCTACCAGGTCTTCCAGGTGGTTGTTAGGAGTCTCAGTTTCTCCGTAGCTTTTAATAATTTTTTGAAGTCCAGTTTTGGAAACTCCTGTTTTTCACTTATTTTCCTCTGATTTTCCTCTTTCTTATACAAGTGGATTAACGTATATCTAAGCTCCTCAGAAATTAATAACTTGTATGTAATAGTTGATTTGACTGGGAATTAAATAACTCAATGGAGGTCTCTGACTTTTGCACAGCACTGTAGGTAGAGACTGGGACTGGAAGTTATTGTTGGGTGCAACAATATTCTTGTTTCGCAGAAAGAAAAAAACTTGCTTGACATTTTTTTCATTCCTTGACATTAAATGATCCAAGATTGAAGACCAGACTTACTATGTAATACATAGTAATTAAGTAATTACATTTGACTTGTTTAGCACAATGAAATAAATAAACTCTCAACTTCTAAGGGTTAACTGTATAATATTGTGACTCTGGTGTGCAATATGGCTTAACTGGGTCTATTACTGCAACTGGATGTACAGGGTGTCCCAAAAAAATTGACATTATTTCATAGTCTAATAACATAGCCAATCCCCCCTTAAATGATCTCAAATTTTAACAAAATGTGTAAAAACTGACCAAGTTTAATTTTTAATGTTTTTTTTCAGGTTGAAGAATGGCGTTCGCTAGAAATGAAAATGCATTTTGTGTGTTAGAATATGCTCGAACACAGTCAAACGGGTGTCCAGCGCACATTTTTGAGAAACTTCAATAAAAATGCACCAACTGGAAAGCAGATTTGGACATGGCACAAAAAATTCAAAGACGAAGGCTGTCTGTGCAGAGCAAAGGGATCTAGACAACCACCAGTATCAGAAGATATTACATTTGTGAAGCTTTGTGAAATCGGTTATAAAATCTACATCCCTCTGAATTTCTTGTTTGAATTTTGATAAATAAATCTTGTATTGTTCAACATGAAGCCTATTTAATTTCGTTTGCCCAGGACATGTAGTGACTCAGAGATTCACATCTCAAATGATGTCAAATTGGGACACCCTGTATTTTAGTTTAGTGTTATGTAGTCATGTATCAAATGTAGTGCACCTCTATACTCATTTCAATGGATCAATGTAGCTACGTGATTATATTATGGACAGTCTATAAGGTCTAAATGGTATTGCAGAATATAATAGGGATTACTCAGGGATCACTCTTCTAGAATTTTACTTAAGGAACATTTGCAAATTTTATGGAAGCCCATACTTCAGTTACTACCCTAATGCTAGTGGCTTCAAACCTTTCAAATGCCAGTTTGAAGATTAAGTACGGTAGCTGGCCCTGACTTGACGTCCTTCATCATACACGTACACAGCGACATTCACACAGGCACACATACACTGTTACACAGAAAAAAAAGAAATTCCATAGATATGTGGTTAAGGCATTCAACGAAATATTGCAGGTAGAGTTTACATCTCTTTGTTGGACAGAGATTGCCATAGCAGTTCTTTTCTGGTTGATTGCCATGAATGACCTTGTAGACAGACGGCTTAAAACCTGAAGATGAATGCACAGTCGATTCACACTCAAACGAAGATCAAGAGGGGGGGTAAACTTCTCGGAATATTAAACATGAGCAAAGTAATCCTCTTTGGAAACAAAGGGCGTATTTGGTTTGGGTATCGGTTCGTCAACATAAATTAATATTCTGGAGGAACATGAGAAGAGTCCACACTTTTTATGTAGTACATACATAAGTAGTTGAGGGATACATCAGTTTGAGCCCATCCTTAAATGACTTGTTCAGAGCTTCTTTGAGAACTGACAAGATAGAGGAGTTCTGAAGTCTCAAAATGGCTTCAGATAGCATCTACACAGCAGCTCCTGAAGAGTGGAGACCATGAGGAGAACATAGCATTCCATCATCATTTCTCTAATTCACCTGATTCTGATTTGACAGAAGTTCTACACCACTTATTTGGCATGCCCCATTCTTTTACGCCAAAAAGTCTTACGGGGATAGATGCATCTTTCCTTTAAACCCACTCCCACACGAATCAGTTGCAGAAGTCCTACACTTCCCCTTTGGAGAGAACCAGTGGCATGTGCCTTGTATTTAAGAAGGTTTCTCAGGTTACAAAATGTCTTGGACCATTTCCTTCTCAAATTTGATAGAAGTTCTAGACCACCCTTTTTGGCAAGTCTCTCATATTTAAGGTAGGTTTCTCAAACCACAAAGAGTTTTGGAATTGGGAATCGGGCCCTTTCCTTTTCAAACCCATTCCTGCATGGAGCGTTTGCAGTACAGTATGTGCCGCTGAGTGTCCTTCCTCTTGACACGGAAGACCGTGTGCAGCAGGACCATCATGCAGAGGGCCAGAACACAGGGGATGGCGATAGCCACTGCTTTCTCAGTGCCGCCCGTGCTCTCCAGCTTGCGGACAATGTCCACGTCATCGTGGTCGTAGTGTGGAGGCTCTTCATCTTGCGGCGGGCCCCAGTCCCAGTCTGGATCTGAGGGGAGACCGTCACAGCCCATGAAGTCCCGCAGGATGGACCTGGGGTAGCCGGGCTCCACCCGCAGCCGATGGTTATTGAACTTCCAGTATTCTTTCCCCTTGTAGAAATATGTGAACCCTGTGGTGGCCAAAAGAAATAAGATATGCTATTAAACCATTGGTTTGGCCAAAAGTGAATTTACACAATTGTCCTCTTACTCCAAATATGGTCAATAAGAAAAGACATCTTTGGTATTCAAAGTTTTGCACTGGAGCTGCAAGGCTAATGTAGCTAACAAGGAATGGAAGTTTATACCCACTAAACATAATTGTGCCAACTACAAGCTTAAATCATTTTGCATATGCCCTAAACTGTATCTAATTAAGTAACAGACCTGCTTATTTGGTTTCTTACACTGTAGGACATAGTGGTATCAATATAATGGACAAAACTGTTTATAGCCCTGTTGCATAGCTATAAACAGTAGTCGTAGTCATCTCAAAATCTAATTTTTATTACTTTTGTCTATTTTCAAAGATAGCAGTACATCACAACAGTATGTGTAAAGCCTCAACACTAGCTCACATATGAAAACAAAAAGTTCTATGATGAATGGTCAGCTGCCACTAAACGAGATGTCTGAGAAGGTCCTACCGTTAGCCTTATCCACGAAGGCACCCTGAGGAGAGTCAGGGATGCCTTTCCATACGGTGATGGGTTTGGGGTAACCAGGGTCCATGCTCCTGATGTCCTCATTGTACCTCCAGTACCTGAGCCAAAATGAAAAGAATCATCTTTTACTTCCATATGAGAAAATATATATATAAAGAAAATCAACTTAATTCAGCAACTTGAACTAATAAGTGCATCAGAACCACAAAATTCACGAGACAACTTTTTTCCACTGTTGATCTGCTGCTGCTCAAACTGTTTGAATGTGTCTGTTTAGAAATCAATGTTTCTCATTTCCATTATAATTCAAATAGTTTATTAACATTTTGACACATAATTGTAGAATTAATTCTTTAGTTTTTTTCTTTTGCTCACAATTTTAGCCATTTTTCTATTACGGTTAAGGAACAAAAATGCCACTTTTGAACACTTTCGTCCAAAATGTTTGGTGGCTGACATTTCAGTGTATCCCTACTGTAAAATACTGTTTCTGATGCTATTTCCTCTGCTTCATATAAATGAAGTAAAACTAGCAGTGGAGTTTCACATAAAGAATTGAAGTACCGAACACTCACATGCACACAAAATGAAAAGAAAAAAACAATAAATTCTACCTATCAATTTATTGCTTTTATCGATAATTATGAATGAGTGGTCTTGGCCCTAATTTAATTAAGAGCAGCTCAAATGAGCAAATGCAACCACTTTTTTCAAAAACACAACTAACTCTTACTCATGAATTAAGTGATATAATAAAGAAACAATTATGCTTCTCAGGCAGTTTTACTGACCTGTCCCCTTTGAAGAAGTAGGTTTTGGCCACATCTTCCCACCATACTGCTGTCTCGATGTTCTGAGTGGGCATGCCATTGCCGAACAGAGAGATATCCTGAGGGTACGTGGGCTGCAGAGTAGTATCTTTGAACACCCAGAAACGGTGACCTTTAGTAAGAAGGAAAAAGAAATCCACCTCGTCAGCAGAGCTTATCAAAAGAAACATGAACCGTGAAATGACTTGAAACAAGTTCTTCTCTTTCAAAGACCAGAGACAGACATAACAACAGACAAATGACTTGCAAAGTAAAATCTATTTCAGTCAGACATTTTAACAAAAAATCAACTGATAAAGTCTGAGAAGATTTTCTATTAATGTGATATAATCTAGGTGTTCAATAGGAAAATGCAATGTTGTTTAAATGAAACAAATGATTCCGAACTCCCAGGATGAGCTCTCACCTTTGAAGAAGACAAACTTGCCCTCACTGTTCTCGTAGACAGCATCGATTTTGGGAGGCAGGCCTTTCCAAAAGTAGCTGATCTGCATGGGGTACCCAGGCACCACTGAGTTATCCCGCACCCTCCAGAACCACTGGTCCTAATCAGAGGCCCATTACGTGCAGGTTAATTCGTGAAGGTTAACACATTTTAATTTGAACACACTGTCAAACATGGGAAGACATTGTTTCAAGGAATTTTATTTTTGTAGTAAAAAATTAAGTTACATTGATTCAAATGATTTGTAATAGATTTCCTTAAATAATATGAATAATAAGCCTTAGCATGGAATAAGCCTGGGATTTTAAGGGATTATCTGAAGTTATTGCTGGTGATAACATGAGGATGTTATAATATTACATATTTCCTGATCGTAGCTCATTGAAACAAGTGTAGAAATTTTGTTTCAAATAGAGACTCTAAATATTCAATCCTTGCCAATGCTATAGTAATAAGTAAAAGTGGAGTCTTATTTTGTGGAAAGAAAAAATGAAAATATTAAATATAAAATACATTGAAAATAAAAAACAGAATTACAGAATCAAACCTTTCACAGAATGTAAACTGAATGTAAATTGTTAACTAATTAGTACATAACTGTAATTAATACTGAAATTTAATTTAAAAATTATGCAATGTAACTCAAAATTATAGCAACGCCATTAATAACTCAACTTTCAAGGATTAAGTTACACAAATTCAAGGTTTCCTAAAAAAAACACTTGAATAAACTAAACCTCACATTTAACTTTACTTTTCCAAATAAAGAGATTATAGTCATGTTTTGGGCGATTATCATAGCTGCTGCACAGATGCTGTAAACATAAAACTTTTTCTATCACCAAAGGATAATTTAAAGCTATGATTAATTTGCCAAACAACTCTCTCTTCAGCAACAAGGAACTAGAACACAAAAACACACTTGACTACTGTCACCACTTTCACTCTTAGTAACAACAAGCAGGGCAAATCAGGTAAATCAGGAGGTCTAGTAAAATTACAGTGTTTCCTACCTTGAAGACAAACAGCTCTTGCCGTAGGAGGGCCAGTGTGTTGAAGCCTCCGTCACAGATGTTGGGCTTGGAGTTGGGGTGGGAGGGTTTGGACCTCTGCGGTGGCCGATGAGGACGACTCTGACGGTCATGCTTTCGGGGGTCTGAGGGAGGGTGCAGGCGAGGAGGCGGGGCTGTTGTAAGCAATCTGGTTGGTTGAGGGTTCTTGTCTGGGGGACCTGGAATCATCACAAGATCACAAAAAGTCCATAAGAAATTTCAGTACTGTAAATTGTGAATAAAACCACAGTGTCCAGCAGCAATCTCTCAATATGTCCACTTGTTATGGGTTGCTAAACAATAAGACCTCAACAATTCTTTTTAGGATCTCAACAAAGGAAAAATAATACAATTTCCACCGCACAGCAATGCACATATTCAGAAACGTAGCATTTATTATGCAATTACATTATACGACTGGATGAAATATAAACATGAATGCACTGGCTTTTCTGTGTGACTTTATTACTTCAGCTGTCCTCTGGCACTTCATTATTATTCAGTTTCTGACCACAGGACCACTGTCGGCTGGATATGTTTGGCTGGCAGACTATTCAGAATTAGTTTAATCCCTTTTCACAGCAGCCATAAAATGTCATTTTTCATAAAAATATCTGACTAATTGATTTCCATTCCACTGGTGGGATGGCCACTAGGAGGCCTGCAGAGAGGAGTTAATATGCATAGTGCTGTTTTTTAACCCAGTCTTTCAATATCAACTAGAACATAGTACATCTAATGGAACATTTACAGACATTTTATTACCTTATAAAATCTATTTTAAGATTTTTTTAAGTGTTTTATGCACCAAAAAAAGTTATAATTCATTTTCAGATGATCATTTTCACTTCTCTTCATTTCTTATAATTAAACAAGCTGTTTTTATTACTGTGCTTTTAAAGGGCCCATATCACCAAAAAATCTTTTTGCCATTTTTTAATATAGTATGTAAACATTGTTAAAACTTTCAAAAGGTACCGGTTGCTCGGCAGCATGGTCTAAGCAGCAAAAACAGCTTGTTTTGAATTCACTTCTTTTATGATGTCAAAACAAACATATTTCCATATATCTGCCTGTTCAGCCTACAGTAGTTTGGCACCACCCAGTCATGTTGAAGTTATGAGGAGTGTTTCAGCCTGGACTTTTTGAACAACACACAATACAGAACAATCAGAACAGAGCTCATTTATATATGTCTGCAACATCTGGAAGGGGACAGTTTGTGAATAAACTAAAATGTTTGCTTGGCAAAGCTATTGCTATGGAACACTAGGTTCTTGGTTGAAAATGTGGTGTTGCTAGGCCATTTGCTATGGTATCCCAGGTGCTTGCTAAGGTGTTTCTAGGCCGTAGATATGATCTCCTAGGTGGTTGCTAATATGTATGTACAAATATGTTCTAGTATGTGAGTCTGTATGTAATGTCTATGAGAGGCAGAGTGACAGACCTTTGCGACACCATTTTCGGCAACTTTAATTTTCTCAACATTCTGCCATTCATTTCTTATGGGAAAAAAATGTGTTTGAACAAAGAATGTGCAAAAACCATATGTGGGATTGACCCCAAAAGCACAAGCATACTATTCCTCTGTAGGCACGTTTGCTTTTTTGCAAAGTTTTGTGGTTCTAGCCTAAAAATTGCAACCTGTGAAAACCTGTACAAAAAAGTGATGAACAGTAAATTGGCTTTATCAAGGCAACTTAAAAACATGCTGTTTAATTCTGAGGGATAAAAAATGGTTGGAAATGGCCATTTAAAAATGGATTATGTTTTTGGTACACAAAACCACACAGACAGCATAACTAAATACAATAAAACAGCAAAAAAAAAATGCTGAATATGCCCTTTAAGACTGGCGTATGTAAATGACCTCTGCTCTGATTGGCTGCCCTGTATTGTGCCTCACTGAAAAAACAGTCCGAGCTGAATTATGGAGCAAACTTTTAATTCTGGACTGAAATCCTCAGGGACAGTGATAAAAATAAACTTCAGCCACTACTTTCGGATGTGCGAATGCTTTGCAAGGCTGAAAATGCTCCATTGGCAGGAACAGCAAAACACTCTGCTGCAGACTGTCTGCAGAAACAACACTGCATCACTTCCACATGACTGGATGGCACAACTGTCGTAGGCTGAATGGACAGTCATATGTAAATGTGTTCGTGGTTGTGACGTCACAGCCATGATGAATTCAAAATGACCTGTTTTTACAACTTAGGACTGGACAGTGTGGACAGCAGTAGTAATAGTAAATCAAACACTTTAATTTCTGGAAAAAGCAAGAACATTGAATTTTTTCATTACATGGGTCCTTTAAATGAGGGGTGTCCAATTTTATCCACAAAGGGCCGGTTTGGGTGCAGGTTTTCATTACATAAAAGAAGAGCACACCTGATTTCATTCGTTTAATCAGTCAGTCTTTAAACAGTTGAGCATGTGTGCTCCTTCTTTGTTGCAATGAAAAACTGCAGCCACTCCGGCCCTTCATGAATAAAATTGGACACCCCTGATTTAATGAATGGTATACTAGAATCATGACATTCATGAAATGACAATGTTTAACAGTGTTAGAATAGCTAGGAATTTCAGTATTATTCAAACTACAACTATACCATATATTTTCTGGATGCCCTGTAGATCATCGTGAGGCAGTTTGAAGCTTTCTGTGTCCATGTACTGGTAAAAGGGAGCCATTATAGCGGTGGGATCATTGGAGTGTTCCAGTCCTAGAGCGTGGCCCAATTCATGTACCGCCACCAGGAACAGGTCATTGCCTACAATAATACAGAAGGACAAGTGAGCAATACGCACACACTCTCTCACACTACTGTGCAAAAGTCAGAGACCACTCTTCATTCATTTAATCTCCAGTCAAAATGGCCATTAAGTACATATTATTCATTTTTCAGGGTGATAAGATTAGATATAAGATAATCCACTTGCATACGAAAGGAGAAAGTCAAAGAAAAATTATTAAAAGCTACAAAGAAAATGGGACTCCTAACAACTGTGCAAGACCTGGAGGACCACCAAAACTGTCCCCTATCAGATAAACAGCACCTTTGACAGATGTGAAAAAATCAGCAGGTGTTTCTTTCAGTCTTCCTACTGTAAGAAGACAACTCAGCGCTGGTCTTTTTACAACAATGGATTGTCCACCCCAGAGTCCAGATCTCAACATTACTAAATGTGTTTAAGATTACTCTGTAGATTTCTTTGAAAAACTGAAAGCAAACTGCTGAAAAGGAATGGGAGCTTTAATACAGGCGAAGCCTGGAAACACCAAACACAGAAAAAATGAATACTGTATTTAGTTGTTGAGGCTTCTGTTAAATATATGTTTTCTGTTTTTTCCTGATGCTGAAACATGAATAACTTATGTTTAATAGCCATTTTGACTGGAAATTAAATAAATGAACGGTCGTGTCTGATACCAGTACTGTATACATACACACCAGATCACTGTAACAGCTGCAAAAGCTGATGCTACTGTGCACGCGACTGCATTTTTCATTGTTTATGTTTTGTAAAATTTGTATAAGCATGAAAAACAGCATCTGGCCTTGTGGGTCAGCAAGTCTTTGTATGTATGTGTGCGTGGGTGACTGCAGTCAGGTATAATCATGTCAGTAATCTCTGGCTACAGCATTTCAGTGCATCGTGCTTGAAGATAATACACAACAGTGAAAAGCCAGGAGCACAGAGGGAGATCACGACATGTGAGTGTGTGTGTGTGAGTGTGTATGTGTGTGTGTGTGTGTGTGTGTGTGTGTGTGTGTCAAGCTGTCCAGTTGGGAGTTGGATGGATCGGCATTCACATCTTAACCTCAGGGAGAATGCTATGCTGCATAACAAGCCATGCGAACATACTAAAAACAGCACATACATATACACATACAACACAGCATGCATCAGCAGACTCATTTGACTCAGTACTTTGCACTCAAGATTGCCTCTGAGTACAGTTTGGCACAACAACACTGTATTTCCTTTTACTCATAATGGCTCGCATTAAATGCAACACATTTCGTGTGCACAATTTTGGCATTATTTGATTATTTGAACGCTATTGTGATTATCATTATTAAATACAATTAGTACATCTTAGTATATAGTCACAGTTTGGCAAAGCACAGCCATACAAGCGAACGAACATTTGATTGATAATTATAAATTACATTTTTATTATCTTGAATTACCTCATTTGTAAGGGAAGAACTGAGCAAATACGAAAATTATTACCATGTGTGATACATGTCCGAACAGAAAAGAAAACACCAGCCTCAACAGGCCTATTTTTGTGATTGTAATAGGCTAAAAAACATTTTGCAGCAATATTTGCCATTCAAATTTACAGTTTGTGATGAATATGAGCCTGACACATTTCTTCAACTTGTTTTAAATGTAGTATAGTTATTTCCTGATGAAAACAAACTGGAACTTAAGTGTACCTCTTAAAAATGAGAACATACAGCCCAATATACAGACTTAAGATTTAAACACATTTTAACACTTTTAAAGAAAGAAATTTATTTTTTATATATATATATATATATATATATATATATATATATGTTTTAAAGTTTTCAGTATCTTGAAAACTATTATGAAAAATATTATGAAATATATAATGAAACTACTTGTATACAGAACGTGCACCATGTTTCTATATTCTGGAAAGTGCTGTCAAACTTATTTTGCTAGGACATCAAGTAGCACTGTGTGACTCTGAACTAGGTCTGGGCAATATCCAAAAATAATTAGCATGATATTGTCTTATCATTGAAAATTGGGATTACCCCCATAAAAGCCCACCCCAAAAACACACAGACTGCAAAGCACACAGCACGCTGCACAAATAGATGCACACTTACAATTAAAGTGAAAGCACTTCTACAATTTATACATTTCATGCAGACTGGAATACACATTTCCTCAGAGGGGAACACTCTTATATTACTAATGATTTCTGTGAACTACAAAATACAAAAATACATACTCTGCAAGTATAGTAAATTGTAGTATTGTAGTAAAACTCTTATTATATTGCTTTATTTTTTTCTCTGTGGTCTCTAGGTAGATACAGCCAAGATAATTCTCCCATCGATCAAGACTTCAGGAGCTGAACTGAGGCCTAATATATCAGACTGTTGCAGAAATAATGCAGTGTACAAACTTGAACACTCATCAGATGACTCATCTACTGATGCCGCACAGGACTGTTATGATAACAACAGAAAAAACAGTACCATTCTAGGCACACAGTGCTGAAAAATCCAGCTCTAGTAATCCAGTCATTGATGTTTAATCTGGGCCACACAAACAGCTGCCTGGCTCCACATATAGAAAGTGGAGCAGTATATGGTCCATATGGACAGCAGTGTGGAACCCTATAAAGGCCAGTTAATCGGTGGTGGTATTATGCGGGGCACGTGCAGCGATAAAGAGGACAACAAAAGCAGACAGTGAGTGTGTCTGAGCGCAATCGGGCCAGCAGACAGCAGGATAGAGCAAGCGGAGCTGCCAGTATTCATTAGGGGTGTGGCGGAGGTGCTCAGCGTTGGCAGGAGAGCATCTTAAAAGCCCTCCGTGTCCAGCTTGATTCACGTTATTAAAGCTGAGTGCCTCAGAGTGCAACTCATGGCAAAGTGAAGGATCTGATTACCCCTCGGCTAATGGATGCTCATTGCAAACTCGACGTGTCAAGCAACACCACACACACAAACACACACACACACACACACACGCTCCAACTTTCGCCCACAAAAACACAAACAGACATGGAGTTAACAAAATCACAAACAAAAACAGCACAGCTCATTAAAAAACAAATTAATCATCGCATGCAAATGAAGTGATTATGCAAATCAGTGAAATTACGCAAAATGTTGCTGCTTTTAGCTTTGACACCACACATTTTTGTGACTCAGAAGTACAGAAAAAAAATCCCGACGGTTTAAATGCATCACAGTGTTGTTCAGCACAGGCAAAAACCTTATCATGATATAGTTTGCTGTATCATTCAATGTCATTAATTATTTGTAATTATTAGTTACACTTCCTCAGATGGGAACCCTCAGGGTCTTATAGTCCTAATGATTTCTGTGAACTAAAAATGACATGTCTCTAATTTAGTTCATTTTCATTCAATAGAATAATCAGGCTTGTTGTATTTAAGCTCTGCAGGTTTTATAGTAAATCTCTAAATCTCTAATTTATAGAAAATTGATTTCATTTTTAATTAATGCTGTTCTATAACCCAAACTGGCCATTGTTTATTCAAAATATGCAAGACTTCAACAGCAAAATACAGGCACTTGTAGTAGACCTTGAAATATTACATGAATACTTGAAATATTCAAAATGTAAATGTCCCCAGGAGCTCAATCTTTTAAACCTACCTATTTGCTTGAACTAGACACCTGTCATCCTTTCTTTGCTGCAAGTTCATTAATTCTTGGGCTCAATTTCTGCTGAGTTGACGTTAAGTGTTTATTTTGGTTACATTATGTAGAATTGAGGTGTAACCACTGTCCCATAGATTGTTGTTGGGGTAGGAGAGTAGCACAATAATAGTTTTGTGGGCCGAATAGGATTGTGTCGTGGGCCTGATCTGGCCCTTGGGCCTGGTGTTTGACACATGGGCTCTAGATCTTCTGGAAGTTCTAGACACATCACTGAATGTGAATATGAGCCGTAGTCTAAACAGGTTTCAATCAGTTGTTAGAAATGGAAAACAGTGGCAGCTCTATGCCAAGACTCTTTACTAAGTCACTGTAAAACTGATCATGTAATAATTTACAAGTTTCAAATAAAATTTGGAATGTCTTTTACAGGCTCCAAATGTCCACGTTTAATTCAAAATGGCCAAAAAACTGTTCCTGTTAGCTTAGCACTAACATCCACAGGGGTGCTAGCAAAAATTAGCATTCCTATAGAGGTGTTTTTTTGTCCTTGTTTGTGACCAGGTTTTGGCATTCATATCCAAAAGGCCTAGCTCTAATAATCACAGTTCACCACTGCATTTCCTAATGGTCAGTTTTACATCAGAATAGTATTTAACCTTAAAGAGAAGACATCTGATTTAAGAAAATGAGATTTTAAGAAAGAGTTCCACATTGCCAAGGATGTTTTTTTGCACAGCTTCCTCTTGTTTTGAGACGTTTTCCTCAAACTTATAGTCTTTTTATTCTCCATAACTTCAACACTATAAATACTTTGCAGAAAAACATTTGTATTGAAAAAAATTATTAACAATTACAATCATATTATCACCATATTATCAACATATTACTACTCGTCCTTGAGACAAACAACAATCTCAATACAAACAAAAAAATATGTAAAAAAACACCCTAACCTGCCGTTCTCTCACCATCATGGTTGGGGTTGCCCAGGGTCCAGGGTTCGTCGGAGTCAAAGTGTGTGTCGCCTCCTATCCCAGGCCCGGGAAAATAGGCGTGGGCCAGGAAGCCTCCTTCTCCATCAAAAGGAGAGCTGTCACCATGGAAACCAGATGCGAAGATGATGGTGATGTCCACATCCCGCTTCCCGCTCTCCAGAGCGCTATAGGGGACAGCCTCGAAGTTCAGTGGCGTGACGCCCTGCCACACATCGAAAGCCCGTCTGATGGCCTCATGGGTCTCCCGAGCCCCCACCTTAGGGGTCACATTCTTTATGCTGAAGAGAGAAAGCATCAGATACTGGCTATTAATGGTGGAAAAATGCATCAATCAAGGTGATGATCAAACTGCATGAACTTTGGAATTTTAGAATCGATTGTAAATGATTATAATAATTGTAATTGATTATAATAATGAATTACCTTCCATTCTATAAATAATAATAACTAAAGTATGCACTCATTTTTGGCCAGTAATAAAACAGTGTGTCAAATTTATTCTGTGATCTATATTCCACTCCGGTGTACATTTTTAGGTCATTTCAAAAAATAATTCTGAATTGTACAAAAATGATAAAATCTAATCAAATCACAATGAAATCTGAGATTTCATCATGCCATGTTTTTTTCCTAAATAATCATAACTGAATCAAATCATTGTGAGATTCTTCTCCTGACATTTTTGCTGGTCAAAACCCAAACAGAGTGGAGAACTAATACAAATGAGCCACACTTATGTGTTGTGAAATGTAGTAATATGAAACACCCATAAACATGCCTCCATCATGTTTACAATGCCAACATGCTGACAATGATCCACGACCTAAATAATACGTGGTCAGCGGTGGCCCTCTGGTGGTCCCTTTCCATTGATGGATGTCATAGAGGAGGGCTGATAAACTGTGCATAATAATAGACTGGCTACAGTCTGTAATTGTAGATCCTCAAAGTGCACTTATATGGCTGGTGTTTGTGATAAAATGGCCTATGAACAGAGATACAAAGTAGGTGGAGTTAATAAACTCAGTGCATATATGTGTATTCTTTCACTTGGTCTTTTGAAACCTAATGTTGTTGTACAGTACTGTGCAAATCAGACCACCCTTACATTAATTTAATTTTCAGTCCAAATAGCCATAAAGTAAAGTTATTCATTTTCAGGAGATCTTTCTGAGGTAGATATAAGAGGGAAAGTCAAAGGAAAATAAGTGAATAAGCAGGAGTTCCAAAAGTGGAGTTCAAACAATGATTAAAAGCTGATTCTTTTTAAAAGAAAATGGGACTCCTAACAACTGTGCAAGACCTGATAGACACCAAAACTGTCCTCATCAGATAAACAGCACTTAAAGCTTTCATCTTTGAGAGAGAGGAGAAAATCAAACTGCTTCAGGTCTGAAAACATCCGCAGGTGTTTCTGTCCATCCTTCCACTGTGAGAAGATAACTCAGCGCTATGGGTCTGAAAGGATGTGTAGCTATCAAGAAGCCTCAATGAGAACAGGAATAGAAAACTTGCAAATCAAACAAAAAAGCTGCTGGTTAATTAATTTATGATTAATATATATAATTTAATATAATTTATATTTAAGGGACATTTTGATTAGAAGTTAAATGAAGGGTGGTCTCTGACTGTTGCACAGTACTGTACAATCCCTGTTGCTGATTTGCTGAGATCGTGCTTATGGCTAATATCGACCTGGCAGCCCCAGCATCATAGACCCTCATGCACTTCAGGGCTTTTGCATTTCAATTTCATATGACTTACAGTTGTACCATTAGGGAGCAATTTAACAAGCTCTAAATCCAGATAAATAACCTACATCCTAATTACATCCACACAGAACGAGCCAATCTGAGAATGATCAATAAGTGTGCCACTGCAGAGTAGGTCACTCAGATAGAATATGACCAGGGCTGGTATTGCATCTTACCACTGCTTTAAAACAGAACGCAGGGCATTGATTTTTTGCTGCTGACCCAGGACCGGCTGCCTCTTTCCAAATCTTTATTCTAATCATTATAAAAGTAACCAGGAAGTTGGACTGGAATAGCCCAAGGCCGACCTCTATATACACCCAACAGGAGCCATTAAGAAGATGGACTGCCACGTAAAATGAGAAAACAACTCAGAAACAGGATAGGAGTCTTTTTTTCTGCCCGCATTTCCGAAAGCTCAAAAGTGAACTCTCCGAAGTGGCCCTTCCATGGACGGCAGATTTGCTGAACTTTGCACATTAAAGTCTTTATCTCTCGCTGACAGACAGAAAGAAACAGAAAATCTCCTTTGGCTCCTCCATTCACTTCTCGCTCTTTAGAGACCTGTCAGCAGACCGTTCCCGCCTGACAGGCCTGGGCCTCATTTACATTCCATTTGCATAGTTGTCCCATCAATTAAAAAAATGGATTTGAATAAATCATTTCCGTTATCACCTGCTGTAACCAGGCAATTCTAAATTGAGGTGAGAACACCTATTTCCTCCCAGCCCTTCAGAGCGTAATCTCCAGGAAATTAAAACAGGTTCCTTGAAGGTTAAAGAGTCAATATTCCAGGTTATTTTATGCTTCACTATGTCTCCATTGCAGTGTGAGACGTGGGGCAGAAGAGCTGAAGTTTTTTCTGACCGCTGGTTTGTATGTGTGTCTGTCCTAACTACTCTGGAGAACAGTTTGTCAAGACTCTATTTCTGGCCTTTACCACTAAGCACTTAGCATTAATAGTGCTTTCAAGAGGTCTTGATTTTATCAGAAACACTATTTTTCCCACCAGGAAGCACCACATGAACACAATACAAGAACAGATAATAAAGTTTTCTAAACCGACTTTTCCTTCTGGTTCGGCGGTGGGCCGCTGGAGCCTATCCCAGTGGTCATTTGGCGAAAGTCAGGATACGCCCTGGATAGGTCGCCAGTCCATCGCAGGGCAGGCAGACAGACATATACATCCAAACACACACACTCACACCTAGGGGCAATTTAGCCTGTCCAATTGGCATGACTGCATGTCTTTGGACTGTGGGAGGAAACCGGAGTATCGGGAAGAAAAATATTTGCACTGGAACATGGAAACGGGACATCTGAGATGTGGAGTAAAGCTTTATGAACTTTTGAGTCTAAATTAGTAACTGGGATTACTTGGATTGTGTGAAGCAACAACCAATCTCTACAGCTGAACTTTCAGTTTTGGAGTTTTTTGTGTAATTTTCTGTGTAATTTTCTGTTTTCTGCTTTTTCCTGACACTCAAAAATAAATTAATTGTACTTATCTGCCATTTGGCTGGAAATTAAATAAGTGAAATGGTGGCCTCTGAATTTTACAAAGCACTGTCTACATCTTTACCTCATTCACACATAAAAACTTCCCCTGTTATTTGTTATATTTCTGACACAAACCACATATGACCACCTGGGCGATCAAATTCCTCCTCAGAGAAGCGTTCACATCTCATTTGCAATTTAAAGTGGTATCTCTTCTGATCCAGAAACTATTTACAGGGGGTCCGGAACCTCCCTTGGAGCCCCTGAATGTCTCAAATTCAAAATTCTGGGGGGTTCCTGAAAATGAAGTTATGCTGTCCGTTAGAAAAAAATAGACACTCCAATACAAATTCAGGGAAAGGTCATTGTTTAGCTACTTCACTCACCAATCGGCGAACTTCTACCTTTGGTATACTTAACTAAATAGAGATGCTGCACTGGTGTGCCTCTGGGTGGCGCTGTAGCGAATTGGTTCACTCAGTTGGTCCTTCATAGCTAAGAAAGACTTTACAATGCCGTAACATATTCATATACAAGGGGGTATGTCGCACACAAATCTGGCCCATACATACTTCAGTGGTCAGCCTATGCATCTATGCTGGAATGGGACAATGGCCTCCAGAAATAAGGACAGAGACCACCATTCTCTAAGCTCATGTAAGTTTAACAGTCTCTAAACCAGACAGAGCATGACTGTTGTAACACTGTCTTTATGGATCTCTCGCTCACCTGTACGTAATGTGCGTGCGCTGCCACTTTTGACCAGTGAGCGCATAGCGTCGTTTCCGCGAACGCGAGCTATAAGAACTCCTGACCTGATCTGGGACTCCACATCTCGGCTTCTTCATCCAGCTGTGAGGGGAAAAAACACCACGAAAACAAATTGAAGTGTGACACTCCAAAGACCAGCGTGTCAGACAATGCAAATCAATTATCTGGCACCACTATGTGACACCTAATGATTGGTGTACAATGTCAATAAGAGCTAATAAAGTAGAACCTCTTTTCTGGCATCTAAGCTACGGAGTTCATATGCTGATTCTTCTCATTCAGGAATACACAGAATATTCAAAAATTGTGTTATTAAAATACAACTATTCTGGTACACAAACAGGCCAAGATTTTAAAATTTGGTTTTACATTATAGTTTTTTGAACACTGGAGCTGAATTCAAATGTATAAGACATGTATAACTGTATATAACAAATAAGAAGGGGCTTATAACAAAAAAACAAGAAAAAAAACTATTTTTCCTTATTCATATATGAAACCTGCATCCTGTTTAGGGGCAAAAGTTGAAATACAGAAAAAAATCCCAGTGAAGTGAACAGAGTAATTTTATTCTTAAGCTTAAAGCCTCCATCTTGAGGCTGTCTGAACCTGAAAATGCTCTCACACTCACAAATGGACTGTCAACTCTTGTCTCTTTTTGCAGGGGTGCAAATTTAGTCTGACAAGTTGGCGGAGAACCAACGTCAGGAGTCAATACAGTCATGTGCTAAAGTTTGAGTGGCCAAGTTCCATGTTTTGTTGATTTTCTAAGTGACAGAAATAGCACATCCTCTACAGAGAACACACTTCTGCAAATTTCAATGCACAAAAAATAAAAACATAAAATGAGGCCTGTGCAAAAGTTATAGTGCATTTTCTAAGGTATGTTTTGGTTATTTCCAATATATTAAACTCAGCAAATAAATAGAAATTATCAAGTAAATGTAGCAAAAAACACCAGATTTTAGTTTTTCTTGTTAAAACCTAATTTCACCTAGAAAATCATCAAAACATGTAATTTGACCAGAGGAGTTCAATCTGTTGCACACGACTGTAGCTTACATGGAGCAATTTAAACATAAAACTGGGTAAACAATGTACGCCTGCCATTACACTATATTGTTTTCGCATCCTTTTACGCCAAAATATTAAAAACACAAACACAAATAATATAGCTATCCTACATATACAAAGATTTTAGAGATTACATTTTGTTGCCAATTACAATGTTTTTTCTTACTGCATTGGTATTGACATAATTGCACTGAGTCACTAATAAAATGTATTGTATGATCTGCATTATAAATATTCTAGCAAACTAAATAAAAGAAAGTCTTTTTTGGCTTAAGTAAATTTTTTTAAATGTAATTGACAGCTACATAATAATTGATATTTGACAGCTATTTTGCAAATCAGCTATGTACTTTTTTCAACAACCATTCCATGACCCCTAAAATGATCTTGCACAATTTCAAAAAGTGGGGAAGACATGCTCCACATCCCTCTGAATTTGCACCAGTGCTTCCTTGCTTGAATCAGTTTGGCACCCTCATCTACATCACCAGCAGGTATAGATAAAAGCACTGACACTATGGCTTAAACATGTCAGATAAGTCACCTCATGAACACTGTATCTGATATCATCTACATACGACTTGCTACAGAAGAATTTGTCTATTTAAACAATCGGGTCCCGATGTTCTGCACCAGTTTCAGGCACAAATGGGACTCATAACATGGAACTGACAATGACAACATCTCTGTCGTACTCATCACTCAAACTGCAGTTCAGTATTTTGGCACTGCTTGTTTAATAATGCAAGCTGCGTCTGATAGACAGAACAGTCTACATGGATTTGTTTGTGGAAGCCACTGGAAGCACATCCCATGGACCCCTGCTGAAGCCAGGCTTCAATACGAATCAATGGCAGATTCAAATTCATGTTTTTTGTGAAGCCAAGATCAACGTTTATTGGATGCTTTTACAATGTCATTTTGGGTCCCGCTCGAACACTAGGCTTCACTAGGAGTCTCACACCTGGAAGCTCAGCTTCTGTATGTGATGACCGGTGGAGACTGGTGGAGCAGGATTTTGAAACGAGCTGCCAATACCAATTTGTGAATGTGTGATTAAGCAGCTACAGCTGCTTTTTAAAGAGACACTGCTGATGTTGTCAACCTGATTTTAGAGGAACAACAGATATAATAGATAAATGCAAAATAGATCAAAACAGACATTTAAAAGCTTGGAATCAATGTTTTCAATAGAATAAAACCCAATCGGTTGCAGTTAAATGTATAAAATGAATCTAATATGTTGGTCCTGTGCACTTTCATAGGTTTAAAATGATTAGTAGGAAACAGAGAATCTGAAAAAAGAAAAAATAAACCAAGAAGAAAATCAGTGCCATGTCCTGAATTATATCAATTAATATTCACAATGGCTTGCGTGCCCAAAGTGGTGAGCAAATCTCGAGGCAGATAACTTGACAGAAAATAAATCAAAACATATAATTACATTATATTAATTACTAGCATTTATTCATATTTACATTACATTATATTAATTACTAGCATTTATTCATAATCCAAGAATAATACCAAGAATAACTGAAATATTCAATAAAACTATGTTTTTATGTTTTAGTGTCTAGTTTCTAATATTTCGATCTACATCTTCTAAGAACCTTAATATGACCAAAGATTCCAAAGTTTTGAACTGTACTTTATTAGTAATTTTTTACCAATAGATTATCTCCACCTGTGTGTCAGAAAGCATCAGCTGCCACTGATTATGAGCATAAATTGTGGTGGCATCAAGGCATATTCTGATGCATCTGTGCTTGTAGGTACATCTGGCTCTCTGAGCTCTAATGAAGGTAAACATTTGATGATTTATTGCTGGAAGGCCTACATTATTGATTAGAATCAGCACATTCACAGCAACACGTCTGAGTGCCTTAGGACAGTGTGTGTCTGTGTTTACTCACGCTATAGTGTTCTGGTCTAAACTGCCTGTGATATTAAGACCGTAGATGCGCTGCATGGCAGCAATGGCCGAATGCACGGTCTGGGCTGAGCGCAGGACAGCCATGTAGGGTTCAGTATGCTGGAGGTAGCCATACCTCTCTAACCAAGCCTGGCAAATAAAGAAAAGAGAAAAAGTGTCAGATGAAACATTCACATCTCAATGTTATATTTACTGCCTCAATATTGAAAAGAAACATTGATTAAACTCCACTTAAATTCAGCTTGATTAAATTCAACAATTATTCAATTATTCAAAGTGTTGTCCAACCTAGAGTGAGATAACAACTTAACCTGAAGAGGGCAGCAGTTCACTTAGGCCCAATCCCATTTTACCCCTTGCCCCTACCACTTAGCCCTTAGCCCTCTGTTTTGCGCGTTCACGTATAGGGTTAGGGTGTCCCAATTTTTGTTGAGATAGAGAGGTAGGGCTAAGTGTTAGGGCTACATGGCCCTCCAAACTGAGGTTTTTCAGAGACTCACTCCAAACGGCTGCGTGAGTGACCAAAGAAATCCACAAATGTAAGTATTTTCTGCGTTAGAAAATTACGATAACCATTCTATTATCTTAGTTTAATGTCCTTTCAATGTATTATGGTCGTTTTTTTCGTAAAAAGCATGAAAAATCGCTAATAGCATGCTAATGTCTCAGTAGCTGGCTAGCTAATTTTCCCATTCCACCTTAAATAGTCCAGCAGTATTGACGCCTGAAGCTCCAGAATGTAACTGCTGCACCATTTAAAGGTAGAACGGAAAAATTTGAACAAGAAGCTGATGAATATCTGACTTCAGCTTTATATCACCAACGAATTAGCAGTGGGCGATGATAAATAACTGTCATATCCCCCTCTTTGAAGGCATATGATGCCCTAATCGTAACTAAAGCACAGCAGTGAGGTTGCTTAACTTTTCCCTTCTCTGCTATCACTGAAGACGGGCCAGGTCGCCTACAGAGCACTGCTAGTAGCCTGTTAATGAAGCAATGTTTTATTTTTTTTTAATTTGAGGGTTGTCCCAAGGGGTAGGGGTAAAAAAAGAAATTAGATTGGGCCTTAGTGTCATACCTTTGTGAGCAGATAGTAAAAGAAAAAGAACAGTTATGGCTGAAAGTTAAATAAAGTCTGGGATCATTTTTTTAAATGAAGGATAAAGTAGTCAACATATGCAAGTCGTATCTTTCCACAGAAGCATAACATGACCTTCAACCACTGGAAAAGAAAACGTCAATTTTGAAGCAGAAAAACGGTCAGTAAACATTAGCTTTCCCTTCATGTTTGTGTTCTGATAAACCAAACTCCATCCTGAGAACATGCAGTTCACACTGTAAGTGATTTGACAGAAACAGCTAACATTACTCTTACAAACATCACTCAAGCTCCTCATGTTCAATCACTACCACCATTCTAAGCCATATTAGTTTCTGTTCATTAAAAAATATATAAAAAATATACCAGCTACTTCTAAACATTTGGCAGCCCATCCTGTCAAAGTGCTATATACATCAGGTAGCTAACTATGTACAACTGGTTAATTAGCTTAAAAAACACATTTCGCTAGCCATTATGACATGAAAATGAAAAATGCCATCCCTTCGTCCTGGAAACCTGTTCACACAGAGCTCATGAACTAGCACATTGCCAAACATTTTATTGTTACAGTTTTACACATTTACAGACAATATTTAAGCCAATTATTTAAGTATTAGTCAGTTAATTCATATTAATAACTAAATATCAAAATGTTTACTATTTGCAGCCCTAACGTTTATATATAGAATATGACCACCACCATCATAACCCCCCGAAATGCCTGCCAGGTATATTTTACACCTGTGGAAAATACTGCATATTAGTCATCATGATCTTACAATAGTCATATAAGTATAAAAACAGTCCTTTCCATGTAGGTCTTATATTGCATATAGGCGTAATACTGGGTTTCAGGCTGAACTTTCAAGTAAAATATCGGGCTTGGGTTTGTTTTCTAATGAGCAATTTTTTGGACAGTACATTTGTTTTTATTTGAAGGATGCACGCCTTCACACATTTCTTTTTTTGCAATTTTTGCATGTTCTCTTTCGCGCTATTAAGCATTTCTGCAGTAGCCGCAGTAGCAAGAGAAACTTTAGGACAGTGGAACGGTTGATTAGAGGAGGGTAGATGATGTTCTCAGCCAGATACAATCAGCAATTTCACAATAATATACGGACAATAAATACAGTTAATAAAATACAGTAGGTAAAATATCCGTTTATCCAAGCATGACATTTTCTGCCAATCAACTCAAGCACTTAGTAACAAAACTCTGCAAAACTCTGTAAATATGAGATAATCCTTCTTTGTTAGCACATGCAAATGGGATTGGGTCGGGTTTTTTAGCAGTACCAGGTATGTCTCCAAGTCACAGGTACAGTGTCTGGCCTCAATTTCATGCCCAAGCAGACCTCTATGTTTATTCATATTAAAAAATTATAAAATTATGACATCGCTGAAACATATGCCACATATTTAACATAATATTGTTAAAACAAATATTCAAGACGTTCTGATAGGTGAGGAATATTGAATTTTGGTCCTGGAGGACGAGTGCTCAGCACAGTTTGGCTCAGAGCAGTTTTTCCCTTCTCAAACACATGAGATTCCACTCATCTGCTAATTGCCAGGGTCTGTTTGAAGAGGGGAATTACCAGGACCAGAGTTAAATACCCCTAACAAGTCTATTTGCAACATATCTGACATACATGCAACCTTATTTTAGATTTGTGAAGAGAATGTTTTATTTATTGGTATTTAAATTCCTGCATCACCACTATAATAAAAATGGAGTCGTGATGGGCGACTTATTCCTCAGGCTGTAAGTTACCCCCTACCCACAGTCTGAGTGTCATGAGCATCCGCATTATCATACCAACCGTGAGATATGATATTACGGTTTAGATTTGTTTCCTCTGCCACAGAATGTCTTCAGAAACAACTCACGGCTTGTATTTCACAGTCTACCTGGTATGCCATACTCATGTCTGACTTTAATATGCATTGACTACATCTACAGGATACCTGAGTCCTATCAGATCAGAAACAAAATACCCAGCAGGCAAATCTTCAAAAACAAAACGCAGTCTGCATTTTTGATACATGACATTTTAGTGCTTATACATGAAAACTCATGTGTTTTGAATATGTCATGTGGATTTAAACGTTTTTTGTGTTGGGTGGGGGGGTTTGCTCCTTTAGCCCAAACATAGCAAAGCAGCAATTCACAGTAATTAGTTCAATCAGAACTAAGATAACGTTATCCAAACATGAAACGACAGCTACGTTTCTTGAATAGAGAGGTTTTATTTTTACAAATATTCAGGTTTCTTTCTTCAGTAGTTTTCACATGGTGGACAAAAAACGGTTCATATGTGTAAATTATTGTTAGCACATAGACAATCAGATTCCACTTAGTTTGGCCGAAACTCCCAGTGGCATTCATCGGGGTCCAAGGGGTGGTAATCATCGGGGTCCAAGCACTACATACCTTATGGAGCCAGTGAACACAAAAGTTTATAGAACAGCTTCAATTTGTAATAAACATGGGGTCTCAAGATGATGTCTGCCAATTTATTTGTGACAAATAAACCATAAATAAACACTGTTCTTTTCAATAATCAAAAAGTATACCGATTAATTTGTTATTTTGGGTTATTTTAAACATTTCACAAAGTGCCTCCATTTGTGTATAAATGCCCCCTGAATTTCAGTCAGAGGTGGGATAACTGACCCTTAAAAAATGACCATTTCCTACCAAGCGTATATGTCAGGTTTGGGAGTTCATTTAACTTCAGTTTATATTGACCCACAGGCTGGTAGATTTTTCAAATAATTATCTGAATCAAACCTTTTTTTTTTTAAATCAAATTGGCTAAAGTAGACAGGGGAGTCCAAGCTTAGTCTAATGAGCTGTTCTGAGACTGGTAACTATAAATCACCATCAACATGTCTTTGGCAAGAATAAAGAATATCTTTTATATGGAATAAGGAGGTTGTTGTGATTAGGGGTGAAAAGGATGGGGCTGTTCCACAGCTGACACAGGCAATTCATTTAACTGGCTTAGCTTCAGCTTAGAGTTTGAATATTAATGCCATATAACATATGCCATTTCAATACTAAACCTCAAGGCAAAGGACACAATGTGTACATGCCATTCTTTATAGTTCTTGTTAATGGTGCAGTGCTTAAGCTTCACATTGATTCTCAAGCAGGAGACATAACATCTAGGCCTATAGCAGAGCGAGAGAAGCTGATTACTTCTGCCTTTTAATAATTCATCAGGAGAAAACGCAGAGGCAGCAGGGGTTTGGCTTGTGTCTAGATACACAGAGGAGTGTTACCATGGTGAGAGCCATACATGCAGTCAGCGCTGTCGTCAGATCCACAGCACGTCTCAGTCATGCAGCCTGGCCCACTCGCTTTAAATACACACAAGTAACGCAGGCACTCAGAGCCAATAAAGAATCATTTTACCCAGTACAATATGTACACAGTGATTCTACCCAATACAGTATGTACACAGATTTCAAATAAATACCAGGAACACCTGCTTTATCAATTTAGCCACAAATAACACAGCCAATCAACTGCAAAACAAACATCTATTTTTTAGGAAACCATTAATAGGCACACTCTCATTGAGTAAAAATCATGTTAGCCTCAATAGCTGGCATCACAGTTTGAAAGCAGGGCTGTTGTGCAACAGAAAGTGCAACAGAATGAACAAGGCCTTTCTATTCACAGGGTGGTTTAGAATGGTGGTGACCTTCATAGCTTCTGTCCATCTCCTGCAACAGGAAAACACAGCTCAAGGTCCTAAACTCACTGTGCTAATATTCAACTATTGTAATCAATATAATGTAATTCAATGTAACTGACGGTTTGCAAAATTCTGAGAATTCCCACCTCCTTTAGTTGCTTCATCTGTCAAAATCAGCCTACCTGGTTTAACACTGAAAAGGTTTGGTAGCTCAAAGGAGCATTTAGAAGCACAGTATGGACACACATATTTGAGAGCTAACAAAATATACAATAAAGCAAACAGAAAATGGATGCTGGAAATGGAAATTACATTAA